ATTAATAAGTTAATTTATAAGTTAATAATTAATTAATTATCAAGTTAAATAAATATAAAATTCATGTAAATTTAAATAAAAAAAAACTGTTTTTATTTATTTTTAATTCATTCAACATTAAAATAAAATAAAACTAAAAAATAAATTGATTAAATAAAATGCAAAATTAATTATATAAAAAAAAACATTACAAACAAATTGTCAATTAAATTAAATAATTATAAGTCGGTCATACATTTGTACCATTATTTTTTGGAAAAAAAGATAAACTCATTGTAAAAAAAATGTAATTAAAATTATTGCAATTAAAAAAATCATAATAAAAAAAATTCATATCAATTAATTAAAATACTAATGCAAATCAATTATATAAAATTATTTTCAAAAAAAAAAAATTATATTAAAACTTTAATGAGTTAATGAAAAACATAGATAAATGAATTATATAAATGATAACCACATAAAAAAAATTGATTTTAAAATAAAATAAGAGATAATAATAATAGACAAACAAACAAAAAAAAATAGTATAGAAAACTTAATTTTTAAGTTAAAAATCAAAATTAAAATTATCATTAAATACAAGTTAAATACGAAAATGAAAGAAAAATTAATGAAATAACGGCATCTTATTTGGCGACAAATTATTTCGGATCAATTGGTATCCCAACTGAGGACTGGCCCGAGTATAGCTGCTATTGTTGTTGACGGCGACGGCAACGGCAGCTGCTGTAGTGGCCAATGAACTTTCGTTTAGCGGACTATAAAGCGGTACATTGCTTATGGGTGGACAAAAATCGGTAGACATCGGACGCGGTCGTTGGCCAATACCTACCGGCTGCTGAAGATCGAGTGATTGTTCTTCGGCAACGAGTACTTCGACAATGGCTTTGACAATCATATCGTCGGCCGGTGTCATCGGTTTCGATGGCAAACACATTCGCCGGGACAACAGTGACGACCACTTCTGGCGCAACTGTAGCGTCAAATGGGCGACCTGTGGATCAAGTTTGAAGTCAATCCAGTGGTCAATCTTCAGCAGTGACTTCTGCTTTTCGAATTGATCTTCGCTTTCGCTATCGCTTTCCGGATCGTTGTATTGTTGGCCAGCGGCGGCGGCGGCAGTCGGCATCTGCTGCTGTCTCCACATCGAACTACTGGCCATTAATGATTCAGTCGGTACCTGTATGTTGCCGGCAAACAAGGCCACAGTTACCGGCGTAACAACTGTACAGTATTTCAAGTACGATGTTTTGCCCAATTTGGTCATATCGTTGAACACAAGCCAATCGGTTGGCAAACTGTCCAACAGTTGGCCGCGACTTTTGTCAATCAAATCGGTCGGACTAAGTGAACACGTGTTTAGCACTGAATTCGGATGAAAGCGTGCACTGACGTCGGTGTGCGTAATCAGTTGACGACGTTCGCGATCAACTCGGGCCAAATGCGGATAACCGCCGGCCAACAGTGCCGCCTTGACTACTGACCACTCGTCCGAATTGGTATTCAAATCGCGTATATCGCCGGCACCTCTGGCCCGAACAAAACCCGAAGCTCTCAGTTGGCCTAACAGTTGGGCTCTCATATTGACAATCATTTCCATTGATGCCGAAGACACAAAATTTTGTTCGCAAAACTGTCGTTCGCATCCCTCGTGTTTGGCTTTTTGCCAATTCTGGAAACCTCTCAACAGTATAATGTGATCGCTAAACGTTTTGGCCGACAGTTTCTTGCGGGTAGCAAACGCTGTACGTTTGCGCGATGCTTGCGATTGAGGTATTATGACTGACCGGCGGTGAAAAACACAAAAACAAACACAAAATTAAAATTATCAATCATTACATCAATTATATCTATACAAACATGGACTCCGATAGGATAGGGAGCAGACAATAGTAAGGACTGGATCCAAACACTTGAGTACCACTGAGTAGAGAACCATTTTGCCGAGATTTGGTTCAATGGGTAGATCGAGTAAATGTAAACCCAATTGGGTTAAGCCTTCCGACGGCTCCAATGCGTCGATACACTGGAACGGGTGGTTAAAAAAAAAGTCAAAAGTTAATAATAATAATAATAAGCCAATCAATCAATTAATTTTCAACCAAACCTTTAACAGATACACGGATTTCTTGACCGATTCTATAGCCGGCGGTCTAATAGCTTTGGCCAGAAAATCGCCGATCGATACGTCATTGTTGATCAACAATTTTGTTTGCAAACATAGCTCATAGATCGACATTCGATTCATTTCGGCAATCGGCTGATCGTCGAATCGATCGAACCGAAGCTTATCGTACAAATGAAAACATAGGCCCGGTTTCAGTCGATTGGCCCGATTTCGGCGATGATAGACACTTGACTTGGATATCCAAGTGGTCGCGTAGCGCGAAAACCCGGTACATCGGTCGAACATTTTCTCCCGTATCCGACCCGTATCGATAACAATCGAAACTTCGTTGACAGTCAGATTAGTTTCGGCAATATTTGTGGCCAAAATAATCTTCCGGACCCCAGTGTCGGCCCGTATTTTACGAAAAACAGCTTTCAGATCGTTGTTAGGCATCTGAGGATAGACTGAAAACAAAGCGTACAGATCTTTGTCGAATCGTTTGGAATCGTTGACAATCTTTTCCCGAACTTTGACAATCTCCGAATAGCCGGCAAGAAATACAAGAATCGAACCGGCGTTCGATTGGTCTTTAAATACTGATTGGCCATTGATTAGTATAAAATGAATCAAATGACAAACCAAATTCATGTCCAACTCTTGAACATTGTTGTCGATTAAGGAATGATAGTATAGTTCAAGCAGTTGTCTATCACCACCATTACCGCCACCACAACCACCGGTACCGTTGCCGTCGACCAGTTCGGTACCGCCGCAGCTACTATTGTATAGGTTGGTCAGCTCATCGTAATAGAAGACACTTTCGATGCATTTGCTGTAAGCCATCAACAATTCGATCATATCTTTGTGGCCAAACTGTTGAGCCCATTGGACAACTGACCAGTCGTTTGGTGTACACAACCCGATATTGGCGCCATAGTTGAGCAACGATTCGACAATTGTTAGCTTATTGTGGGCTACGGCCGCAATCAGTGCCGTAACACCGGTAGCCGTGTGCTGATAGTCAACGGATATGTGTTCGCTGACAATCAAATCGATCAGCTGTTGAAACGAATAATCAGTTCCCGAAGTCCAGGCGTTTCGTATCAACGAATCGATTCGGAGTTTAAGTTTTACATCCAATTCGTCCCGTTCGGCTACAACTGTCTCCGATGATAGGATACGTTTGCCGCCGACGACGCCGCCGCCACCGATGGCTCCACCGAAACCAGAAGAAACAAAAAATGGATTCATTTGATCGCCGCTTCCATAGAGAAAATCAGGTGTAGTATTGGTAAAGACATTGATGTCGTCAATCCATTCGTTTAACATTTGTTTCTGTGCTTCTCTAGTCTCTAATGCAATACTATATTCTTTCATCGGTTCCGACATATATGCAGTCATACGGAGAACGTCTTCGAGATAATAGTACTGAAGACTGGCCGGTGTCGAGTCGATGTCGACAATCTCACAGTTGCCAAAGTATTGGGCGTATTGTCCAATAATTTGATTGTCTGATGACATTAGTATCAGTTTAAGGTTGCGATAGTTGGCCAACATTTCGCGCATTACTAGTACAAGAAATTCGGTAAATCGATCGGACTCTTGAATCTCGTCGACGATCACATGGGTTACCGACTGTAGCGGACTTTCGGCGCCCATCAGTGTTCTCAATAGTACACCATTTGTGCAAAACGTTAGTAGAGTTCGGGGAGAAACTCTGCAAATAAAATAATAATAAATTTTGAATTAAATTATCGGTAAGTTTTTAGACATTTGGTCATCAATTTCAATGAACGAATGAATTGATGGCTTACTTGCTCTCCAAACGGATCTGATAGCCGACTGTTTGGCCAATTTGTTCCTTACGTTCGTGACTGACCCGTTCGGCCACACTGTGGGCGTACAGACTGCGCGGTTCGGCACAAATTATACGACACGGCTTTCGGGCGGCGTTACAGTGTTCGAGTATATACTGCGGTATTTGTGTAGTCTTACCGCAACCGGTCGGACCGTTGATCAGTACAATACGATTCGATGACAACACATCTTTCAAACGGGTCTGATGTCGATATATGGGAAGACTGGCCCGAAAGTCGACCGTTTCGTCCGAACGCTGTTTGGATGGAAACACTGGCGGCGGCGGTATTTGCGGTATAATGTTTGACAGCCGTCCAGTCGTACAGTTGAGCTCACGATTCGAGTCAAACAAYGTATTGTGACCGCCAGTACCTCCACCACCGCTGGCCATTCGATGATCAGAATGGACGCCAAATGTTAACTCTTTCTTCTCTTTATCGGTAACCGGCTGTCGTTGGAGAAGACTTTTGATAATATTCTGCGAAAACTCCAGTAAACCATAGTTGGCGTCCAACGAGACAATCGTCGACGACATCTTATAGACAGTAATACATCGATTGTAACCAATACTATGTGTGTATGAAAAGACAAATATATGACAATCAATTGGTCCCACAAATTAGTGGTCAACAATACCGGCGCCGCTTAGTCTTGAGTCCGTATTGGCGACAATAATGGTCGACAAATTGTCGTTCAATTGATGTAAAACTTGTGGGAAAGTCGTACTCTTTGGAGATGAAGTGATTGATTGAATGAATGAATGAATGAATGAAAGATAAATAATCAGTGATTAAGAGATCAATTGATATACAAGTAATCAGATCTGGTCGCCGATGTTGACGGATGATGGACGCGACAACCATCCCGCGGGATGTGTCCATCAAAAAAACAGACAACCAATCAATCAATACATACCRTTAACTGATTCACTTTTAACCAATTTGGCGACAATAATGTGTACACATTTCTTGAACACTGGACTAATGTCCAACTGATCCCAAACAATGTCCAACAATTGATTCATTGGTATTATTATTATTATAACTATAACTGTAATGTTGTTGTTGTTGTCAATCACTATATACGGTATATAACTGATGACTATATTAATAATAATGGCGTCAATAATACTACTGTTGTATTGAATGTATTGTAAGTTTTTTTTTTTGTTTGATTGACAGTCAATACTATTGTCTAATGCTATGCATATGTAATGCATATGTAATACATGTGTGTGTGTGTACTATACTGTACTATACTTTACTATACAGTATAGTACTGTATATAGAGTGACCACATAATGTCCTGTATTTAATTTTTTTTCCCATAAATATATTGTTTGTATTAATTGAATTTAATTAATTGATTGATTGATATTTTTGTTGTTGTTATATTTGATAATTAATTAATTAACAATATATGTATTTAATTATGTTAGTTATAATAATTATAATTATATAAACTTAACTTTTTATAATCATAATACTGTACAATAAATACTTACCGGTATATTGTTTTGTGTATATATACATATGTGTGTGTGTGTGTGTAAATACTGTATATAGTAGTATACATGTATGTGTGTGTATGTGTGTGTATGTTTGTGTGTGTGTATGTGTGTGTATTAAACATTTAGTAAAAACATTAAATATATTTTGTAGATGTATGTATGTATGTATGTATGTATGTGAGTTAGGGTACGATATGTAGTATGTATGTATGTATGTATGTATGTATGTATGTATGTATGTATGTATGTATGTATGTATGTATGTATGTATGTATGTATGTATGTATGTGTCTATGTCTATGTATGTGTGTGTGTGTTGTTTATTTGGACACTCTGTAAATGTGTACCGTATTGCCCGCCCAAATGTATTGGTACAGTATAACTGGTACTACAGTTTGCTTATAGAGTTTTTTTTACAGTAGATTTTAATAGTTTTTTTTTAAAAGTTAAAGTTTTTATTTTTTTAATTGATTTTGATAAGCAAAACAATTTTTTTTTAAAAAAAGGCAATAAATATTAATCAATAATTAATTAATTATGTTTTTTTTTAAATATCTTTACTAAATTATAAAATTGTATTTTAAAGATTTTATATACTGTATAAATAATAAATATTTAATTTATTAAATTAAAAAAAAACTTAATTAAAAGTTTTGAAATTAGTTTGAGTTAAGTTTGTAAATAATTTTGTTTTTGTTTTTTTTTTTGRRTAACTTTTCAAACAATTTTTAAATGCAAAACAATTTTAATTTTAAATATAAATATATTAYACAMAAAAAAATAATTTTTTTWATATATAAAAAACTAATAAATGATTTATTCAAATACGACACTACTATTGAATATCGGCATCACTTTTGCCGCCCGTTTTCGACACCAATCGTATATCATTGATAACAATCTTACGGTTAACAGCTTTGCACATGTCGTAGACGGTCAGTGCGGCCACCGATACGGCGGTCAGGGCTTCCATTTCGACACCTGTCTGGCCGCTGGCCTTAACCGTAGCCCATATGCGGATAGTGTCGGCGGCGGCGGCGGCGCCGGTGTCGTCGTCCACTACTTGWGTGTCAATGTCTACCGATTGTATGCCAATCGTATGGCACATCGGTATCAATTGCGGTGTACACTTAGCAGCCATTATACCGGCCACAGTGGCCACTGTCTGGACGTTTCCTTTTTTGATTCGGTTAGCCTGTATCAGGTGCACGACCTCCTGGCCTACCCATACAGTGGCCATTGCTTTGGCCACTCTAGTGCTGACCGATTTCTGGCTAACGTCTACCATACGCGGCTGACCTGTCTGTGGATTCAAATGTGTTAAATCTGATGGGACTGTTGGTGTTGATAATAGTGGTGTTGGTGTTGATGATAGTGGTGTTGGTGTTGGTGTTGGTGTTGGTGTTGTTGTTGGTGTTGGTGTTGGTGTTGGTGTTGGTGTTGGTGTTGGTGTTGGTGTTGGTGTTGGTGTTGGTGTTGGTGTTGGTGTTGGTGTTGGTGCTGATGATGTCTTACTACTAGTACTATAATACCGTTTCTGATGATAGGCTAATCAATAGGATAATGTATTATACCTTATATTAATATATCATATATTTGTATATAAATSATAATTACAGGGACTTCCTCTTTGGATGGGAGGTAATACTGTATATATACTATTGTATGATATATATATATATGTATAAGTCACCCACCAATTAGTATCATCGGCCGATTAGCTGATTTGGCTATAGTCTGGGCACCTGTAGATTTTTTTCAAAAAAAAATTATTGCAAATAAAAAATAATTTTATTTAAAAAAACACGACTGACCAGCGTGTTGTCGATGCTTTTGGTTAAGAGCCGATTGTATACAAYCRATKAGCTGACTATCATCGGCACCGTTACGTATGGCATCTCTCAACGATATCTCATGTTTGCCAAACAGACATACCTGTTATKGTCATTGAAAAAMTGTATGGTTTAGTGGGGGGGTGGGTGTAATGRTAGTCATATCTTATGGTAGTTTTAAAAAAAATGAATATTACTGTTGACCTTAAGATTGCCGTCGGCTGTAATCCTTAGTCTATTACATGAGCCGCAAAAGTTGTCGCTCATCGACGATATAAAACCCAATTGACCGGCAAATCCCTKAACCCGATAACGTCTKGACGTTTCATTAGCTCGCGGTTCCATAGGTTCGACACAATCATAGTTATCGCGAATAGTGGCCAACAATTCCCGGCCGGTAATCATCTGATCGGTTGACCATCGATTACCGTCGAACGGCATGTATTCRATAAAACGAATTTCTATTGGCCACTGACGGGTCAGTTCGACAAAATCGGTAATCTCTGTATCGTTGAAACCGCGTATGACTACACAGTTTAGTTTGATTTCATCGAAACCGGCTTCCAGTGCACTGTCCAGACCTTTCATTACCAAATGCCAGCCCTTTCGGCGTGTAATTTGTTGAAACTTTTCCGCTATCATAGTGTCCAACGATATGTTGACGGCATTCAAACCTATATTAGTCAAACCCACCCGAAAAAAATAGATACCGGTGTTAGTACAGGTGCGTACATATAATTAAAATTGTYATTCAATAGGATATATATATATATATATATAATAACCGGCTTTTTTCAATGCCCGACACTTTCTGTCCAATACCAGTCCATTGGTAGTCATGCCGATAGTTTTCAGACCAAACGGCCGCAAACTGGACAAGTGATCGACAATATCGATGATATCTTTACGTATCAGTGCTTAACATAGCGAAAAAAACAGTGTAAAAGTTTTTTAATTATTAATTATTTATAATTTTAATTAATTGTATCAATCATTACGTTCGCCTCCCGTAAGCCTGACTTTTTGGACGCCCAATGTTTTGACAAATAAATTGGTAATTAATTTGATCTCATCGGTGGTCAATAGTTTGCCGTTTGGACTCAATTGGACGCCTTCTTCGGGCATACAATATAAACCTGTTATAAATATGACAACAAATTAAAATTAAATAAATAATATTTGATTTAATTAGTAGATCTAAAAAAAATAAAATAAAATAATGTTATTATTWGTTAKTGTATTATAATTATTAATTAATTAATTTAACTAATAATTTACATTATATTAATTTATAATAATAATAATAATTTATAAATGTTTAACATTTAAATTATTATAAAAYGACCTGTTTAATAAATTAAATTCAATTATTTGGAAAATWAAATTAAAATAAATATATATTCAATTTTTAAAAAAATATTAATTTTGTTAATTTAGAAATATTATAATTATTATTAAATATATTATATATATAATTAATAATTAATAATTAATAATTAATAATTAATAATTAATAATTAATAATTAATAATTAATAATTAATAATTAATAATTAATAATTAATAATTAATAATTAATAATTACTATATTATTGTTGTTAGWATTAATTTTAAAAAAATTATTATCTTAGTTTAAAAACTTATATAATAATTATTTTTTTAATAAAATAAATAATAAATAAATTAAAGATTTTTAAATAAAAAAATTTAGATTTATTATTATWATTATTATAATTAATTATTTAATTAATTAGAAGTATTAAAATAATTATTTTTTTTGTTTAAAAAATTAAGATTATATTTTTTTACATACATCTGAGATTACATTTTTCGGTCAACGATAGCCGCAAATAGTTATGTTTGCGGCCAAATGTGTCGGCCAGTGGACTGTTGACCGTAACCGTTGATGGCCTCCACTCCTGTTGTTGGTTATGTTGGCCACTGATGTCTGTAGACATTGAAATTATTGTCGGCCTAATAGCGGCGGCAAAAACATTGGTCAGCATAGATACTGGTCGKCGACCGTTACCGACCCGTAAAATGTTGTTAACAATTGTTGTTAATAGTGTCGACATTTTTGGTTGGTTGTTGTTGTTGTTGTAGATTTGATTGAAAACTAATTTATTTTATATTTTAAAAAAATATATTAATTTTTTTGGTATTTAAGTACAGTATATTAATAGATAAAAAAWTTTAAAAAATTTTAATAATGTATAATATTTAAAAAAATTAATTATAATGTATTAGAAAGAAAAGTTTTAATAAATTGATAGTTAAATTTTAATAAATAATAATATACTATACAATAGTTTTCACTTTAAAAAAAATTATACGTTGTTTTTTAAAATTATGTATAAATTAAAATTATATTATTATTATTTTTTTWTAAAATAACACACATATCACATTAAAAAATATAATTGCTTTTTAAAAATAGTAATAGTAGTAAACAACTGTTAAATTTAAGTTAATTAAATAAAAAAATTAATATATTTTACACACACACACACATTAATTAGTTAYACAAWATATATATAMATATATATTGTTTAAAAATTTGTTTAAATATTAATTACTTTGTKTCTAATTATAACTGATAATTGCCCTGGACAATTTGATAAACTAAACTAATATACGTATATWWATATATAAATAATAATAATAAATAAATAATWGTTTTTATCAAAAAAATAAATATTCTAGATAATATTTTTATTATTATTGTTTTTGTTGTTTTTGTAGATAWTAAATACCSAAAATAARTWACATTAAAATTTTTGTTTTATATTTAAAATGGTAACTATAATAATAATAATAATTGATAATTTTATTTRCACACTATATATTAAYTGTATTTAAAAAAAATTTTTAAAATAATAATTATAAATGTAATATAAAATTTATGTTTGTATGTGTGTGTGTGTGTGCAATAAATTTTGAACTAAATTATTATTATTATTATTATAAATGTCATATAATATTAATATAATAAATAAATACTATACTATTATTATAATAAATATCATATTATAAAATAAATTAATAAAATAAAATAAACTAATTATTAAACATTAGATAAATTACTGAAATATTTTTAAAAATTAACTTAATTAATATGCTATGTGTTATTAAATCATCAAATTGTAAATATTATTATTATTATATATATATGAATTAAATAAATAATTTTATTGTAAATGTTTAATGTTTTTATATTTAAAACACTAATATTATTAGTAATTTATTAAATTTATTACAATTTATTATTTAATTTAATTAATCACAAATGTTTATAGATTTATTATTATATATAAATTTAATRCATAATTAATATTTATTTTATAATTACAATTAAGCTAAATATTTTTATTAGATATAAATGTAGAATAARTTAWTTTATAAAATTCATCATAAAATGATTTGACATTTTTCTATAACATATTAGCAAAAAAAAATWTATAAATTAAAATATTATAATAATTATTAATATTATAACTTAAAACATAAAAATCATAAATTCATATATTTATTTCATATATTATTTCATATATTTTCATTTGATAATAGAAATATTATTATAATATTGTTAAAATAATAATTGAAATTTTTTATTTATTTATGTATTAAACTAAAAATGATATGCTATTTCATTGTGGTTTGTTTGTCATAAAATATCATAAAAAAAACTTATTTAAATAAATTTCTGAATATAAAAATTAAACAAAAAAAATTATTTTAGTTTGTATGCGTGCTATTGAATGACTTTTGAAATATAATAATAATAATAATAATATATTTTATTATCTAAACTACTTTCTATGAAATAAGTACTATACAAGTAATTTTATTAAATTTTTTTAAATAATTTGTTTTTTTAATATTAATTWCAAAAAAAAATCTAAGTTAATTATTATATACTGTAAGACTAATTTAACTTGGTAAGTTTAATATAAAAAAAATTTTAAAAATATATTTATTTAAGTATTTAAATATTACACTAATAAGGTATTATATATTTTATAAAAATTATTTATTATTTATTTATTTTATAAAAATTTTATTTATTATTTATTTTATTATTATTTATTTATTTAATAGAAAGTAATATAATTATAAAAATTATTGATTTAATTGTAAAACTAGTGAATTTAATATATATATATATATTTGTCAATGTATTTGTTGATATAATATTTAAATAATTTAATAATTTATTCAAATTTTTTCTCAGTATTAATCATGAATTTTTGTTTGTATATTATTTGGAAAAAATGTAAATAATTTAGTTAATTAAAATAATAATAATAATTAATATTATCTATATTGCTATGATATATAGTTTATACCCACATATTTTTAAAAAAAAATCAATTTAGCTATATATTTATGATATCATATGATATTGCAAAAAAATAAATAAATAAATACCATTTCATTGTCAATGTTAAACTAATATTTAATTATCTTTAAAAAAACATAAATTAATGTTTTGTAAAAATTTAATTAAATATTGTTAAAAAAATATATTAATTAAGCATTTAATATATATAATAGTAATTTTAGTTTTTTTTAATTAATTTAAAATATAATTAATACTACTACTACTACTACTTTTTATTTATTTTTTTAAACAAATGTTTAAGTACTATTTAAAATAATTATAATATCTAATAATATCTTAATAATTTTAGTAAATAATATATATACTGTAAATTATTATTTTTTTATATATAAATTAATAGACTAATAGACGTTAACAACATTAATCACATACGTTATGAAATTTTAAAAATAAAAATAATTATCTAAATAAATAATTAATTTAATTAAAAAAAATTAGTAGCTAATTAATTAATTCAGTTAATTATATATTTAAAAACAAAAAATTATTATTTATTTATTATATAGACTTATTTAATTACTGAGTTAAGGTTAAAATATTAGGTGAAAACTACTATAAAATAAATGTTATTTTATTTTTTAAAAAATTAATAAATTTAAATAACCAAAAAAAAAACCTTTTTTTTTGTTTTATTAAACCATCAGTAAATTAAGTTTTTAGACAAACCATTAAAATTGATAATAAAAAATATACTGTATTTTTGTTGAGAGAGAGAGAGAGAGAGAGAGAGAGACAACCATTTGACGCAAAACATGTATCCATAAGACATCACACGTGATGTCATCATCAGTAGGTGACGACTATCTCTCTCTCTCTCTCTCTCTCTCTCTTAATCACTCACACATACACTCAATAAACATGTTTGTTATATAACATGTACAGAGAGAGAGAGCATAGTATATACTGTACATACAGTATCTTCCGATATATATATACATTATATGTATACACTGTATACAATGTATATTATCATATCATCACTTCATATGGGGTAAGGGATCAGTCAGAGTACACACATACACACAGACAGACAGTCGGATCATCCATAAGCCGATGAAAATAAAATAACTTAAATATATATTTATATTAATTATATTCAAGTTAAAGTTTAATTTAATTTAATTATTTTTTAATTATACAAAAATCAATGATTTTAKATTAAACATATACATATCAAACAACACACATACACATTGAATCAAAAATATATCATATTTAATGTCATATCATATTATATACTGATATCTCGTAAGATATATATATATATATATAATGCGTTCAAAAAAAAATTGTCTTAATTTGTAATTAATATTATTAATAACTTTTTTTTATACCTATCAGTTAACAATCATTATATATATATATATATATATGTTACAAAAAAATCAATTAATGTTTGTTGAACTCATATATATATATATATATATTGATAAAAAAAGGTTACCTACCGGTGCACAACAAWAATAGGCGGTTAGTTGAAAACATTGCCGGCAAATTGCATAATACTATTTTTTTTAAATGTGTGTACATGTAGTAGTGTTTTATATTTATAATAATATATAAATAAATTTAAATAAAAAWTTTTATATAGTCTCGCATTTGCCAGACTCCCAGTCCTGCTCCCTATCCTCTCTCTCTCTCTCTCTCTCTCTCTCTCTCTCTCTCTCTCTCTATATATATATATATATATATATATATCTCTCTCAGTTGTCCCTATCATCACATATATATATCGGTTGCTATTTAACTCCCAGTGCTCTCTATACTTGTATGTGTGTGTGTGTGTCAGTACATCAGTGCTAATAACAAGTATATTAATAATTATAAAAAATATATTAGTATTTGAAAAAAGTATTTTTTTATTGTAATTTATTAGTAAATTTTTTTAATAGTTTTTTATGTGTGTTTGTTGTGTAAATAATTAATTAATTAATTAATTTTATTGTTTGTTTGATTGTCTGTATTGTTATTTTTTTTAATATAAAAAAAAAGGTAAGTTTGATTTTAAACAATATATTAAATTTAAGTCATTTTTTAAAAATTGAAACAAAATTAGATAACATTTATTTATGAATAAAACAAAAACTAATTTATATAAAAAAACTAATAAAAATCATATGATTTTTTTCTAAGTGTATAAAAAATATATTTATATTTTTATTGTTGTTGAACTTTTTATGTATAAATTATTATTATTTTTGTTTTTATTTTTAAATAATATGTAAATTTATATTTAATTTTTTTGTTGTTATCGCCTCTCAATAATAAGACACTTTACAAACAAACAAAAAAATTATATTAATATATAAATATATTTAGGGAAATAATTTTTCCTTTAGTGATAATATAATCATTTAATAATTTTTTTTAGCAAAAAAAATATTTAAATATTATATACAGTATTTCATAATATGTTCACAACAAAAAAATTATATATTTTACTTGTATTTGTCACACAATTAGTCTACCCGTCAAAAAAAACTACAGTAGTTTGAAACACATTGAAATTTTTTTATATAAAATTTATATATATATTTAAAATAATTTTTTTAAATTGTTTTTAACACATAAACTTATTATATTTAAATGAATAATTGATAAAAAATTAAATAATTATTAATAATAATAATACATATAAAAAATCATTTACATATAATTTATATATATTGTAATATATATTAATTATTTTTATTAATCAAAATAATTAATTTTTATTATTATTTATTTTTATATTAATTAATTAAATAATTATTTTTTATTAAATAATAATAAAGACATGGATTTTGTGGCCGACAATGACAACAACAACGGCGACAACAATAATAATCTGTTGGGCGAAACATTTACGGCGTCCGACAAATTTTTAGAGAGRGCCCACATTACCCGTATGGACTACTATCACCGTATCTATCAGTTATCCGTACAAAACCCTGATGCTTTTTGGCTGAATATTGCCGAACAATTTTATTGGCACAACGGTATCCAACGTAATAATAATAATACCCGTGCCGCCGCTGCCGGCGACGGTGCCGACGGTAAACTATTTGACTATAACTTTGATGTGACCAAAGGCCCGATTAATATCAGATTTATGAGCGGATCCAAGACTAATGCCTGCTATAATCTGGTCGATAGGATCATCGACAAGGGTCTGGGCGATAGGATAGCCTATATTTGGTATTATTATTATTATTATTATTTAAGGGTTATATTTATTATTAATATTAAATTTATGTTTTATTTGCGGGACATAAGGATTGGCAACGATTTGAATGAAAGAAAAACTATAACCTATAGTGAATTGAAACGAAATGTTTGTAAGTTTGCTAATGTATTGAAAATACAAGGTATCCGACCCGGGTATAGGGTTGCCATTTATTTGCCAGTTTCACTGGAATTGGTTACCGCAATGTTGGCCTGTTCACGTATTGGTGCCGTACATACCGTAGTGGTAAGTGTATGATGTATGTGTGTGTATGTGTGTGTATGTGTGTGTATGTGTGTGTATGTGTGTGTATGTGTGTGTATGTGTGTGTATGTGTGTGTATGTGTGTGTATGTGTGTGTATGTGTGTGTGTGTGTGTATGTGTGTGTTGTGTGTGTATGTGTGTGTATGTGTGTGTATGTGTGTGTATGTGTGTGTATGTGTGTGTATGTGTGTGTATGTGTGTGTATGTGTGTGTATGTGTGTGTATGTGTGTGTTTGTGTGTGTATGTGTGTGTATGTGTGTGTATGTGTGTGTATGTGTGTTTATGYGTTTGTATGTGTTTGTATGTGTTTGTATGTGTGTATATGTGTGTGTGTATGTGTGTATATGTGTGTGTGTGTATGTATGTGTTTGTATGTGTGTGTATTTGTGTGTATTTGTGTGTATGTGTGTGTATGTGTGTGTATATGTGTGTGTGTGTATGTGTGTGTGTATGTATGTGTGTGTATGTGCGTATGTGTGTGTATGTGTGTGTGTGTGTGTGTATGTGTGTGTGTGTGTGTATGTGTGTGTATGTGTGTGTGTGTGTATGTGTGTGTGTATGTGTGTGTATGTGTGTGTATGTGTGTGTATGTGTGTGTATATATGTGTGTGTATGTGTGTGTGTGTGTGTGTGTGTGTGTGTGTGTGTGTGTGTGTGTGTGTATGTGTGTGTGTATGTGTGTGTGTGTATGTGTGTGTGTATGTGTGTATGTGTGTGTGTGTCTATGTATATGTGTGTAATCTGTTATTTAAATTAAATAATTAAAGATAATAATAATAATCATAATAATAATTATTATATGTATTATTATGTCATTAAACAACAAACAAAAAAAGTTTGCCGGCTTTTCATCGCAATCATTGGCCGACCGGATCATTGACGCCAATTGTCGGCTATTAGTAACGGCCGACGGAACTGTTAGGGGAAATAAATTAATTAAATTGAAAGACATATCCGACGAATCGCTAGTCTTATGTAAGCACAGGTATGTTGTTTGTCATCATATGTTTAACACAACAGTAATAATATTATACTGTATTTTAATAATAATATATATATAATTTAATTTAATGATTACTTATATATTTTATACTACATATTATACATTTAAAAAATAGTTAGTTATCTTATTTAAAAAAAATTGCTGTAAAAAAATCATACCATTAGTAATGATTGCTATTTATACTATTTTTTTAGAGAGAAAAAAATTATTATTATTATTATTAGTTATATGTTTTCCTTTAAGTAAAAATTCATTATTTATATAAATATATTTTTCATATACATTGGATTTACCAAAAAAAAAAAATTATTATATGAGAAAATACAGTATTATATGTGCAATAAGTTTGATAAATAAATGTGTTTTTTTATTAACAGTATTATACTGTATATTAATCAACAAAACATTGATTAGAAATTATTGTTACAAATAAATTGATTTTTTAATAATAATTTTTTTTTTTAAATCAACATAAACTAAAAAAACACATAAATAATTAAAATAAATTAAATTATTTTTTTTATTCTGAAATATAACCGTAATTTTAATAATAACCAAAAAAAATTTTTTCACTATAAATTACCTAAAAAATAAATAAATAAATAAATAAAAACTAGATTATGTTTTTTTCAATAAAAATGTTGTTTCCCCTTTAAAAAAAATTTTTTTTAATAGATATATAACAACTATATTTTACATATTAATTATATAAATAGCAAATTATTTTACAACAAAATTACTAATAATAATAATTTTTTTAACCTATTTGTTTGACATCACATCCCAATTATATATATATATACTGTATATAATATATATAGAAATCATAAGCTCGTGTCGTGTATTGTCGTCAAACACCTACCGGTGCCCAATAGCTGCCAACAAAATCGTTGGTCAAAATATGAGCCAAAATTTGACGAAACAATTGATCACTACTGGGATGAGCTGATAGAGGCGGCCAGCGATGAATGTCAACCAGTTTGGTTGGACGCCGAAGACCCGCTATTCATACTATATACCAGGTTTRGTATAACCCCCCTCCCCATCCCCCCCATCTATCYCTCTTTACTAACASTCCTATATATATATATATATATCTGCAGCGGTAGTACTGGTAAACCRAAAGGCGTTGTCCATACAATAGCCGGCTATATGTTGACCACTGCCCTKGTATTCAAGTATGCGTTCAACTATCGCGATGGCGACACATTTTTCTGTACGGCCGATCTCGGCTGGATTACCGGCCATACGGCCAACGTTTACGGTTCGCTGGCCAACGGCGCTACAGCCGTACTATTCGACGGTATACCTACTCATCCGAATGCCGGCCGTCTCTGGCAGATAATCGACGAAAACGGTGTCAACTCGTTCTATACGGCACCGACAGCCGTGAGGACACTCATGAAATTCGGCGACGACTATGTTAACAGATGGACAATGGCCAAACTCAAGCTTATAGCACTGGTAGGCGAACCAATCAACCGGGAAGCTTGGCTTTGGTTGTACAATGTTGTCGGTCGCGGTCGATGTCCAATAGTGGACACCTATTTCCAAACCGAAACAGTAAGTGTATCCTCTGTGGGTCCTTATACGGGGGTGTTATAATTCCTGGTGTGTGTCCTCCCCTCCCCCCTCCCCCGACACAAAAAACTAATTAATCTCTCTCTCTCTCTYTCAACGATGATGATAGGGTGCGCCAATGATATTCCCGATACCCGGCTGTATTCCCATGAAACCCGGTTCGGCTACCCTACCGTTTTTCGGTATTGTACCCGTAATTTTGTCGGAAGATGGCCAGGAACTTAGTGGCCCTAACTCGGGATATCTAGCATTCAAAGTATGAGATTTTTATAGTTATATTTCGATATATAATTTACCGATTATTGATACCCAAACAAACACAGAATGCTTGGCCATCGATAGCCCGAACCATTGATGGCAATCACGAACGCTTTGAGTCGACATATTTCCGAAAGTTTCCCAACTATTACTTCACTGGCGATGGTATTGATTGACCAAAAAAAACAATTTTTTTAGTTATCATAAAAACTTTTGATCACTACTTGATAGGCGCCGTTCGCGACCAAAACGGCTATCTATGGGTTACCGGCCGTACAGATGATATGCTCAACGTTTCCGGCCATCTGTTGTCCACAGCTGAAGTCGAATCGGCCATTTTGGACAACAAACGTATTGCCGAAGTGGCCGCCGTTTCGATGTCTCATCCGATCAAAGGCGAAGCCATTTGTTGTTTTGTTGTATTGAAAGCCCAACAGATCTACGACTTGCAGCTGGAAATAGATCTCAAACAAAGAGGTATTACCACTACTACTACCACTACCACTACCACTACTACTACTACTACTTAACTGATCCATAAAAACCAGACACCAAAAAAATAGCTAACCGTTTGTCTATCTGTTCCTAACATATATAGTACGCGATAAGATCGGCGCCATAGCGACACCCGAATGCCTGTTCTCGGTTCGGGCGCTGCCGAAGACCCGATCCGGTAAAATAATGCGCCGAATTTTGGCCAAAATTGCCCGAAACGATGTCCGCGAATTGGGTGACCTGTCGACCATATCGGACGAATCGGTTATCGATGAGTTGATTACTGTCAGGCGTGTTGTTGGCGACGGCGATAGTGGTCAACAATAAGGGAGGGATTAGGGATTTGGGGTTAGAATAATAGGGAAGGAATATCATTGAAAAAAATATAACAAACTTTTATTTTTTTAATTTAAAAACAAGAAAATTGTTAAAATTAATATTTATTATTATTATTATTATATTTTATTTATCAAAAATATTTCCAGTAATTAAATAGTTTGTTAATAAAAAAAACTTAATAAATCACATAATAGTGTGCGTAAACATATACCATATATCTCATCCCTTCCCTCCCAATTCCTCTCCCCTCTATCTCTCCCATTCTATCACTAATACTCTCCCTCTCTCTCTCTCTAACTATATATAACTCATACGTTCCCTCTCTTTCTCTCTCTCTCTCTCTCTCTAATGAAAAATATTTATTTTAAAAAAATTTGGCAAATAATTCAAATAATAATATATCAGACAAAACATAATCAGTTGTTTTAAAAACAAACAAAAAACAATTATATTATCTTTTAGTGTCCAATTAGTTGTTGTCTGAGATTAATTAAAAATCTGATGATATGTTTGCGTTGGTTATCGCAATGCCAGTCGAGACCATCAGTCCAGTAATGGCCATCAAATAGGATTAGTTTCGGATCAGCGGCGGTAAGTCTCTTAGTGGACAAAGCCGTCAAATATGAATCGGTAATCTGGGCGCCGGTTATATACCATTTAGTAGACGCAACTAAAATCCCGTAATCAATACGATTAATACTGTTGTTGTTAGACTGACTACCAGTACAACCACCGCTACCACCGAGTCGTCGCTGATTTTCATTAGCGCTAGCAATCAGTTCACAAATTAGCTGCGATTTTGCATTTTCAATGTATAGCAAGCCATCAACTTCTAATTGTTTCATTGACTTGAATGCCATTGTTAGACCAATTGGTCCATTCAATAGACAATTTTTTCTAACCAATAGGTCAGCCCTTCCCGTAACAGTGTTTCGTATAGAGTTATAGTAGATATTAAATGTTAATAAATTTTTAGTCAAATAGACATCGGGTATATCGTAATCAAGATTATAGAGTACTTGTGAGGCAAACGAATAGATCGGATTTTCGTGTCTTATATTTATGTTTTTATTGACAATAATTTGTTTCAAACATTGTTTCATTGAATGGGATTCATTGAATTGATTTGATTGAAAGTCGATATCTAAAAAAAAACAAAATAATTCAAAAAAATAAAATTAAACTATAATTTTCATTTACCAATTGATTGATTAATTAATAAATTATAATTAATATCATTATTAACAATATTAAAATAATCGTTAATAATATCAACATTTATTGAACTAAATTGAAATTTTTTTTAGAAAAATCAATAATTACCTGTACTTTGATTTGCATTAAGCATTTCTATTGGCAGTCCATTGTTAGTACAGTACTTAATATTCATAAACTGGTCGCACGTGTCGCGTGTGAAATACTTGGAGCACAACAAACTGGTTAACGGGTCGTCATAATCGTTAATATCTAAGTTAATAAACATTATATACAGATATATATATTTATATATTGAAAAACAAGTTATACTTTATTAATATATTGTTTTTTAAAATAACTAAACCAATGGTATATTCCTCGATATCTTCAATCCATTGACTGATATTTAATGTCTTTACCATCGGATCATCTGATGGAAGACTAGCGATAATCTCTTGTCTGAGTCGTGTCTTTGAATCAGTTTTCGCTTTCATGCTATTCATAGCCAACAATTGATTGATGTTTTCATACATTATTTGCCGATCTAATTGGTGGCGACCACTAGATATCACTGTTGCCATCAATCGGTGATCAATGTTTTTGCGGACAATTGCTGATAATGTCTTATTCATTAATAACAATCGCATCACTTTTGTCGCCATCAATGGTCTAATCATGGATTTCATTGTCTGTTATTTGTTGTTGTTTTTTTTTTGACACAAACTTTGTGACCAAACAAACAAACAAACAAACAAAACGTGTCTTTACTTCAATTTTTGTCAGATGTCTTTGTTGTTGCTGTTGTTGTTGTCTTCAATCACATCTATCGACGTCCGGCTATTGACAGTCACACACCCACACACCCACACAATCTCACTGTTTATTTAAGAAACAAAACAAAACAGAAAAAAATATCAAATAATTAACAGTCAATTCATTCATTGATTTATAATAATATATTTATATAATTAAAATACCTGTAAATTGTTGCCACAGTTTGTTGTTGTTGTTGTTGTTGTTGTGTATTGAATGATAATACTGTTACCCGATGTTGTTGTTGTTGTTTATGTCGTTAACAAATTAATTAATGGTTTCAATAGTTTTTAGTATTGATTTAGTAATTGATTGACTGATTGATTGTTTGTTTGTTTGTTTTGATTGAAATAATTTAGTCGTCAATCGTATGAAAACAACAAACAAAACAAAAACAATTATTTCAATGCTTTTCAATACTATAGTAGTAATACTTGAGTACAGTTTCTATTGAAATTTTTGTTCAATTAATAGGCTATGAATTCCAATAGAAAATGTCAACAAAAAATTTTTGATTTATATCTCTCTAAAAAAATTATTGTTATTATTATTGAATTAAATGAAAAATAAAATATTGTATTCTATTATTAATACTACAGTATATTAATAGAATGTTTACTATAGTTTAGGATTTGTTGTTGACGTTTGCCAATAGTATAACAATAATATTCAATGAATTGATTGGTAACAATAAATTCTATACAAACTGTACTCTTAAATAATATACATACAGTAATAATAAACTTTTTATATACGCTTTTAACTGTACACTTGTCACTAATACACTAATACAGTCAACACCAGTTACCAACAACAACAGAAACTAATTTTATTTTTATATATTTAAAAAAAAATAAAATAAATATTTAAAAAAAAAAATTTTTTATTAAATATTTATATAAATATTAGTTTTAAAATACAGTTGTTATACCACTTAAATAATTATATTTTTTTTATATAAATATTATTAATATATGCTATCGATTACTAGTAAATTAGTTATACTGTAAATATATATATGTTTAGTGTAATTAAATGTTTGTTTAGTTTTTATTTCATATGTTTTTAATTCAATTCAATTGTTTTTTTTTTAATCCGAAACAAACAAATCATTTACAACAACAACAACAACACTAAAGATATACATATTATTAGACTTTTTTTTAGATAAATAATTACCGAAAATAATAATAATAATAATAATAATAATATAGTGATTCATCAGCTGATCCAACCATCACAACAACAACAATACCGACGCAATGGCCACCGATTGGGAAGAAGTTAAACGATTGGCCGCCGACTTTCAGAGGACACAATTGAGCCAAACTCTGTTGAGGTCAGTGTCTGTCTGTGATGTTGGCCACCAATGATCGGTTACCGCCGATGATAATGTGAATAACCAATTATAATATCTCTTTTTTTTGTGTCCCCCACCCGTCCCCCACACCCGACCACACATCACAATAGGCTATCGGAGCGCAACTGTGTAGAGATTATGCGCCGACTGATTGATATGAAACTGTTGGACGTCTACTTTACCAGCGATGGCAAAGAGTATGTTACCGACGATCAGCTGCTCAGGGAAATCGAGGACGAACTGTACAATTCGGGCGGCCGTATATCGTTGGCTACGTTGGCCGCCAATTTGAACTTAGACTATGCTCAAGTCGAGTCTAAATCGGGCCAACTATCGCGTACCAGTTCCGGTGATGTTAGCCTAGTATTAGGACAATTGGTTAGTCGCCAGTATAAGGATTCCTTAGCTCAGGAAGTCGACCTCAAACTCCAAGAGTCGGGTGTCGTAACGATTGCCGAACTAACCAAACAGTACGATCTGAGTGCCGACTTTCTTGACGGACTGATTACCGAACGACTGGGCAGTCTGGTCAGAGGCCGTACCGATCCGAACGACCCGCGTGTCATACTGACCAACGATTATTTAGCTCAATATCAATCGAAAGTCAAGGGCGTACTGTCGGCAGTTACCCGACCGGTAGCCTTGCAAACAATCATCAATCGTTATAAGTTTACCGAAAACTTGTTCAATAGTATGTTTCGAAAACCGTTTTAATTGTTTGTCTAATTAAACTAAATATAGATATTAATTGCTATATTTTTTTGTTGTCTGTTTAGGTATTGTCAACGATTTGATTTCGACAAAACGTTTGTCGGGTTCGCTTAGTGGCCGGACATATATACCGGAAATCTATGCCAAAACCCAACTGGAATATGTGGAAAGTTTCTATAAATTGAACGGCTATTTAGATTATTCAACATTGAATCGATTGGGTATAACCAATGCCCAGTCCTATCTCCAGAAACGTTTCGGCGATCAACTATGCTATCTGAATACCTGTGCTGTCGGCCAATTGCTTAACTTTCAAGTAGAATCATCGATTGAAGAGTGTATACTAAATAATTCGTGGATCGATTTGGTAACCGTAATGCCATCCATACTATCCGACCTCGATATCAATATATTGATACAGAAAACACTGGAACAGAACAAGAATCTATCGGATCCGACAGTTATACTATGCGATACACTAGTAGTTAGCAAAACATTTATCGCGAAACTTGAAAAACTATTTGAACCATTAATGAATAAGAAAGCTGCGGATGATCTGGCGAGTGGTCTATTGTTAAGTTTATTTGCCGCACAAAAATCGGCAAAACTTGACGCAATGTTGTTGTTGGCCGCTTCGGATGACGGGAAATCTCATAGGAAAAGTGGTGGCGGCGGCGGTGGCGGCAAAAAAGGGGGCGGCGGTGGTGGTGGTAGTGGAGGAAGCGGTTCGCAGGGCCGGGAAATAAAGACCAAAGCGGTGAAGAAAAAGTACAAACCGGGAGCTAAACAGTCGTCGAAAGCGGGCGGCGATGACTCGGACAATGACGACAACCAGTCGTCGTCGTCGTCGGCAAACGAGTTGACATTTTTAACCGTCAAAGAAATTGAAACGATTGTTACGAAAAACATTGCCGACATTGACGACTGTCCGCCGGATTTTATCAAACAACTTGCACTACGTATTCACGGCTCGTTGCGTACAAAATACGAAACGATTGCCCGACAAGTGTTTATCGCATCGACCACTGCTTCGTCAGCTAAGGCAAAGAAATCGTTTAGCGAAGTCCAGAAACTGATCCAACAGTTGTACACTAATATACTATTGTTTGATAAGGGCATCAAAGTCTTGACCAATGGTATAGAGATTATCTGATATCTTTGATTTTGCAATTTTTATAATTGTTTGTTTTTGTTTTTGGTGGTGATTATCATTATCATCCACTCAGATGAACTACAACAGCAGCTGACTAAGTATTTACTGCGATCCCTGTGCTCAGACATTGTCAACCATTTGGTTATACACTTTACCACCAGCGAAGACATTGCCAGTATAGCTAATCCGGAGGTAATGATTGATTCACAATTGATGATTGATTGATGACTAAAAACCATACAAAATTGATTGATCCACAAAAAAAATAAATAAATGATAGGTTCGGCTGAAACTGATTGGTAAACTACACGATCCAAACCTAAAGGAATGTATCGTGAAATTGAATCAAACCATAAACGGCAAATCGGTTGATGACTTTATAGCCGAATTGGACACATGTGTCGGTAGCGGTAAATGTGAGATAATGTTGAAACGATTGGACAAAAAACGCGAACGCAGTGTAATCGCCGAACATCGCCAGTCACTCATACAGCAGCTGAACGAGTCGGCGGCTGCGGCGGCGGTAAACGATGGCCAGGCACTGGCCTTGAATTTGGCCGTTTTGCTACTATTTCATCGGTATCGCGGCGAACTGATTCACGCATCGGGAAAGTTTGTACCGAAACTATTGGATCAGCTAAAGTCGGATTTGGATACCGAAACCTATCAACTGTTATACAGTGCACAGGAATTGGTTATCAAACAGTTGTCGTCGTCGACAACTACTAAAGAACCGTCGGATGCCATTCAGCAACAGTTGTCGGCAATGATCGACAAAATCAAAGAGTTGGCAATCGTGTCGTTGTCGGCGAAGAAACAGACAAACGATTAGAGAGAGAAAAAATCGGTTAATTTTGATGACTATTATTATTATTATTATTACCGATACATGTGGTGACCACTGAATACATATACACAGTATATAATAATAATAATAATAATTTATATATTTTTTTAATAATGTTTTTTTAAAAAGTAAATTAAATATAATTCAATATATATTTATATATATATATCAATGATATATTCAAATACAGTGTATATCATTGATATTGTAATTAAAATTAAATAAATAAAATAAATAATTTTTTTTGCAATGAAATTAACTATGAATTTATTTATCAACGATTAATAAATACCAATAGTTTATAATATTTATTTATTTATATTTTTTTTATTAAAAAAACTTAATTTATTTTCAAAACTAAAAATATCTAAAAATACTCATACAATCTCTTAATTAATTAATTAATTAATTTAATAATCAATAGTTTAAAATCAATCAATCAATAGTTATTATAATGTAATTTTATTTATTTATATTTTATAGTTTAGTTTTTTAAAAAAAAAAATCATAAATAATATTAAATATATTAATAAATAATAACTTAATATATTTAAAATTTAATATTAATTAAATGAAATTGAATTATTTATTATCTTGATTAAAATAGGTGTGTGTGTGTGTGTTATAAAATAATAATATTAAAATACCACCACTACCCCTCACCCCCCACACCCACCACTACAACCGTCAACTGTAGTGGCCATCGCCGGGGGTGTGGGTGGGTTAGGCACAGTCGACAGTTTAGGCGGGTTTATTACATTTGCCTGCCTTACAATGGCCGCCCCCTTCAACACAACAAACACCATTACACGAATAGCTACCTTTTGGGCATTTTTTTCCGGACGTCTTTTTCGGTCGGCACACAAAATTAGGAAACGTACAGTCCTCTCCCGGTTCACATTTTTTAGTTTGTGCACAACTATCGCCCGGTTTTCCGTTTATCAGATTATCTAACATTATATATACAGTATATATATATATATATATATGCATATATATCAATGATACATATATATGTATATTCAAATACAGTGTATATGATTGATATTGTAATTAAAAATAAATTAAAAATATTTAATTTTTTTTTTGCAATGAAATTAACTATGAATTTATTTATCAACGATTAATAAATACCAATAGTTTATAATTTTTATTTATTTATATTATTTATTTTGAAAACTAAAAATATCTAAAAATACTAATACAATCTCAATTAAGTAATTAATTAATTAATTTACTAATCAATAGTTTAACCGATCAATAGTTATATACAGAATTTTTTTTTAAATTATTATAATTTATGAAAAAAAGTACCATGATAAAAGTAAATCATTAATATAGACTAGCACAAATTTAATAAATTGTTTATCTGTCATATAATAGTTAAAGTAATATAATGTATTATATATAAAAATATTATACATATATATTATTGATTAATTAATTAATTAGTTTTTTTTCAATAATTATAAAAAGTAAATATTTAAAAAATACTAATAAATTGAGCAAGATAATTTAATTTAATTACCCGGTAAAATGATTGCAGTGGTCAATACTACAACTAGGATGGCCAACATAATAATTGATCGCATTGTTTATCTGATTATATTGGTAATTAATTAATAATTGTTTTTTTTTCAAACATCAATTTTAATTTAATTATTATAATCTGTTTTTTAAATATAAATAATAACCGAGACTTATATACTAATAGTTTTATACATATATTTAGTTTATTTTTTTAATGACTTTTTAATTATTTTGTTTTTGTGTGTTTTTTTTTGTGTAAATCATCTACGAGTTAGAAGTTTTTATTTTAAATGACAAACAAAATTAAAAACAAATATTAATTAATTTTGGATAATTAATAGCTTGGTTAGAATAATTGCCAAGGTTATTAATTATATTGACGTTATTATATGATCAATGATTTTGTAAAAATTATCAAATTACTAATATTATAAAGTTAATCAATAGTTTTTTTTTAAAAAAAAATAATAATAATTTTAAATTTTAATTGATACTATTTTAGTAAGTGTTTTTATGTTTTTAAAATTAATATGAATCTAATTATTGAATAACTAGAAATAGTTAAAATAACGTTAAAATTCATCTAAAAATAATATTATTTTAATTAAAATATTAAATACTAAAAAAAATAAAAGCATCAGTGTATCATTAATGCATTTATCAACTATTTTTTAAATCTTAAATAAATAATTATTTTGTAAAAAAATTAATTTTTTATTTATTTTTGATTTTTGGAAATTTTACCTATTTCCCCGGGAATTTATACGGGAACTTATGGGGATTTTTTTAATGGAATTTACATGGGAATATTCGTGAATTTAATGAAATTTTAGGGAATTTTTTTTTTCATGACCCGCCCGCTTGATTTAGTATTTTTTTTGAAAAAATTACCTTTAAAAATGCAATAAAAGTCTACCCACACCCTAACTCCCCCCCCTCAACATTTTTCGATAATTTTGTAAATTTCAACCCGGTTTACCCTCCCCCCCCCTTAAAATCCAAAACCTTGCTTAATCCTGATATATATACAGATGTATATTGTTGAATTTTAAATAATTGTAATTACAATTAGTAGTGTATATGTTGACAGACAACAATTGCTGTTCAAGGATAACTACTATTAATTTAATTCAATATAAAAAGGCCTTACAATAACCTTGCGCATGGTGTTTTTAGCTATAATTCCTAAACGGAGTGAGATATATTAATTTTGTAAAAAATTTATTAAAATTTAATTTACGCGCGAATAAATATTTAATTTTAATTTTTGATCACGTGATCACATTTATTTTGACATGTTTGCAAACCACTATGTCATAGCCTAAACTATAAATGATAGAATAAAATTTTTAATTACAAACTTGTAGAGCACAAATAGTTATTTATTTATAAAAAAAAATTTGAAATCAGATAAAGGGTTATTTTTTAATGATTTTTTAAAATAGCAAAAGTTCAGTATAATACTTCAAAAAATCAAATAAATCTATATTATTAAACATCATAAATAGATAATTAATAATATAAAATGAAATAAAATAATTTTTTTATTGATTTTTAAAGTTATGCAAAATTAAATTAAAAAATATTTTTCAATATAATGTTAATATTAAATGATAAATATTTGTGATTAAAAAAATTATTGGGCATAAAATTATTTAAATTAATATTTTTTTTGTAATTAATTTATGTATAAAATGTAACCTAATTTCGTAAAATTTTGCAGACTGGATTTTCTTAAATATATTAACAATTATATAAGCAATATATTAATAAGTATTATATTTCGTAAAGTTATTTTTATTTATTTATATTGATAATTAATGATAATTTTTATTTATTTTTAGTATTTTAAGTATTTTAGTAACTATATGAAGTGATCACAATGACAAAGTCACAAAATTTAATTTTCATTTTAATATTGTTTTAAAATTATGTGTTTTAAAATTAAAATATTAATTGTATTTTTTGTTTTAATTTATAAAATTAAAACTCAAACCAATGATCCGCTCACTGAAGACTCAGATGAAGTTAATATATATTATAATTAAATTATTTTTGTATGTTTAAAAATATATTTATAAAAAATAAACAGACACCTGCCCTGTAAATGTAATCCCAACGAGACTAACTGCTCAGGATCAAAGAGCTTACATTGCAGTTTCTGTTGCCGCTAATGTCCRTGTCCTGATGTAATAATTAGACTTAAAAGAGCTATTGATAGAAGATCTGTTTACAGCGATAGCTATGTAAGAGTACTGTATCTACAATTACAACAAAACAGGAGAATTATGTGACAACTCACGACCGCTTTCAACTACAGATCAATGACATTCAGATGGCTTAGAACTCTCTGCTCAGATTGGTCGATTAGTGAACTTTCAGCTRAATAAGGGAATAAGCACTGCCAGTGTTAGTAGATTACTAAATATATTAGGTTTTTAAAAAAAACTAAAGCGAGGTGGATACCACATGAGCTTACAGATGAAGACAAAAAAATAAGAGTAAGAGCTGCACAAATAAATCTAAATTGGTTTCGTAGAGATGCGAGAATGTTTGGAAGAATAATAGCCTTTAACGAAACAGTTTGGCGATGTTATACGCCACCAGTTCCTAATCAGGCCTCAGAATATCGTCGTTCAGGAGAAATACCGCACACACGTGTAGCGCAATTTCGGGAACCTTAGAGTAGACATCTCGTTATGGCTGTTAGTCAAGACCAAATCATTGGTCATGAATGGTTGAATAATTGTGAAAGATGGACTCAAGAGACAATTATTAGATTTTTAAATGAAACAATTAGACCATATGTTGAACAAACGATGCCAGTTGAAACTCCCAGTATACTAATGGATAACTCTCGTTGGCACACCGGAAGCAGAACTATGAGATTCATTCAAGAAGATATGAGATGGGAAATTCTTAGTCACCCTCCGTGGTCTCCAGATTTTGACCCACTTGACATCGAAGTTTTTCAAAGAATAAATTTATATTTAAAAATTAAAGGAAATATAAGCAAAAAACAGAAAAAAATAATAAATAAATGTTTTTTAATAGATTTTGGTCTATTTTCACTATTAAAAAATATTTATATAAACAGCAATCTTTACATTAATAGTAAAAGTATATCTCGTATCGCTGCCCAAAAAAAGTATGGGCAAAAAAACTGTTAAACGCAAGTGCCGATGGCGGTGGTTGTGACAAACGTAAGTGTCGTGTCAATCCTATTGGTCGCTCCCTTTCTAAAACAACCCGAGATGTGGCAAACGATAGGGTGTTGGTCGACAATACAGCCTAACATTGATGGACATCGAAGATAGTGTCAAACCTTGGCTACGTATGATGTCCAAAAACAGTATGGCCTTACGTAAGACAAAGGATCGCGCATTGGACTATAAAATTATACAGGAGTTGTTCGATGAGTACGTATTTATCGGTGTAAATGTGACAAAACTGGCCTAACTATGACACCGATGAATCTTCTTCTAGTGATTCTTCTGGTACTGAGTCAGATTCCAGTTTTGGAGACACT